ATGACTGAACTGACAGTTTATGCGGTAGGTATAAAGCATGAAATATCCTTAATACATAATATTTCGTTAAAAAAATGTTTGAAAATTAATCAATGCCCTCTATACTTCTTTTGAGATTTTTTTAAACGGTTAGAATTTTATACTTTATATAGACAACACATGCATTTCTCCTTTTGAGGTAGTAATGTAATAAATTCTTTAAAAAAAAAAATAATAAAAAACACTTTTTTAAAGAATGGGGAGAGGGAAGGGGCTACAATTTAACCTTGAATGTACAACCGGGGAAGAATGCATATAATTTTTAGTTGATAACACTTTAACACTACAAAATAATATTTTTTACGTAATCGAAAGGGGATAATATTATTAATCCGTCTATTCTGTAGATCAGTTCTCCACACTGACTGATGACGAGGTGTCTGTGTTATTCTGTTTTCTGTGTTCTGACTCCGGTCCTCCTGACTTCATTGACACAGAGTGGCTGGACATGCTTAATGAGATACGACTAGGAGTGTACGATAAAGAGAATCCTGTAACACGTGACAAAGTACAGCCGACTCTGGAAAGACTGAAGTCACGTGGTTACCTCTGGGAAGATAAGGACAAGATAACGAAGGATACAAAGGATGAGACAATGTATAGGATAGCATCAATAAGGAGTTATATACCATTCTATTACAGTAGTTATAACACAGCCAGTGTGTACCTGAGATCACAGAGATACAACAGAGAACCTGGGGAGAAGTGTGTCATTAGTGAAGACAGTGACGATGAGTCCTTACTGACACGCCGTCTACAGATGAACATACTGACTCACGTCACCATGGAGGACACGAGTATAATTTTATATTATATGATACACCAGATATGTAAGTCAGAGTAAAATAATTGTAAAATGTTCTATTTTTTCTTCTAGAATAATTATTCTATTTGAATAAATGGATTACATTTTAAAGAGTTAAAAAAGTTATCAGTAGAAACATTTATACATTTTAATCACTTTCTTTTTTTGTAGTTGCTTTGTAGTAGCTTCATCGATTACAATGTAATGCTAATAGATTAAAATATTATAATAGAAGTAACTGATCGTGTTTAATAAATCTATAATTTGAATGTATCTCTACATATACACATGTATAAATACATAATGGTATTACAGTGTAAACGTTTATTATAAACGGTATATATTTTTCTACAGTAAATATCTCAGAAAATAAAATCAAGAGCAGTAAAGATGAACGAAAAGAATTTCTAACGGAACTAAGAAGAGAAGGGGAGGCTGTACATTATAGAGGAAGATCACAGGACAGTGTAGATCACGTGACGTGGCTCTGGAGACACAGGGGATACAATAGACCTGACATCGTGAGATCCTGTATAGGTCTACATCCACACTGGGATATATACATCATCGACAACAAAACGTATAGAAGACCAAGTAAGAATGGACACGTTTGATTTTCTAGAAAAAAAGTTATCTCTGAATTTGGAACTTTATAAATTGTATATTAACTCAGTCAATTATTTTTGTTACCCGTGACCTTGTACAGAAAGGTTATATATATGAACTTTGCCTGTTGCCAAATCCGTTTAGTAATTTGAATAAATATTGCCTAAATCTACCTTGAACTTTGTTCAACATAAATTTAAAAATGACAGGTGTCAATTTTTCAGCTAAAATAAAGGAAAGTTTTGGGGTTTTGGGAGGTCGCAGTTCTTCCATTACAATATTTTTTCTTTCAAACACGACCACGTAACCTCCTTCAACTTTAACTACACTACAACGTTTGTGTTGAAAGAGGGTGTGTGTGTGTGTTGGGGAGGGGGGGGGATATACATACGTCCCAATGTTTATTTGTCTATATGATGTCATCATTTTTTTTAAAGTATGGCACACCCCCTCCTATTCCGCTACCCCCCCCCCCCTCCTTTCTTGTTTCGACGCCAATTGTAATCTTTTTTTTATTATTGGAGCCTTGTTTATTTGTATTTTGCAAATTTAAATGCCAGTTAAAGTATCAGTCTGTTTCTCTCCCTCGATTTCGTTTTAAATGTTGTAAAATTAAATTTGTTAAAATATTAATCCAAATCAAAATCATTTTCCTTTCTCTTTTACATGATTTTCATTTGGTTATTTTTTTAATGTATGTAAGTGTACATGTATTCCACATCATTTATTGTGAAAAGTGGTAAAAATGTTTCAGGTCGTATAAATTTGCTACCTGGTATGGCTGACAGGAGTTATCTCTCCATAATACGAACGAGTTATGTCGCGTTACATAGGCGATATACATGAATTCCTACCTTCATTTTAAAAGTTTCACCTTATTCCTTCCATGGACCTGTTAAATGCAAGAAGAGCTGATTGCTATAATGCCTTAAAACAATCGTTTCATCTTTTTAGTGCAAAATTTAGATCAAATTAACTTTAACAAGGAGCATTTGAGCGATTTATTTATAAAAATCCAGCTTTATCGTAAAATGACAGCAAAAAAATACTAACTGAAATGAGTAGAGACGATGAAAATCCAGGTATTGCACATACATGTATATAAAAGTTTGAATAGATGTGGGGATGAAATGAATATTTCTCATTCGATCCTTATATATGTCACGGGATCTAATCCCACTGAGGGACGTGAACACGTATTCCTAAATTAGACCGATTAAAACGAGGTCCCTTGTTGCGGAAGTTGCTGGCACAACAATGATCCCTCGCTGATCAATTGTCTTCATGCAGTACCAAGGTCAAATTGAAGCTCTCCGCGGCGGATGATTTGTCTATGTAACAGTGTATCAGTGAAATATATCCTGAAGTGAGACGTTTTAATCAACAAACACAAGACTCATCATTACATTACTCTGTACATTTACAAGCACTATTCATCGTTAATATATAGAGATATATAGAATAAGTAGGGAGTAGGGGGTTGGGGTTGTGAGGGGGGATGCAAAAACATGAATCTAATGATTTGGGTTTTTTTTCCATTGATCAAGACTGTGCTGACCAAGAAGTTGATTTTTTAATTGCTTGGGCACAAAAATACAGGAATTCCTTTAGAAGCTAAAACGAAATATATGACAGTGGATGGAAAAAAAACCGTAGACGGGGGGGGGGGGGGGGCAGCTCCGTTAAAGCCTCTTTGAATTCAATGCTAAGTATATGAAATGTTACAATTACTCATCCCCCGTCTTTCCCTGCAGTTTCTGCGAATTCTACTATGTATCATTGTGTATATGCTCTCCATGCAAGATCGCTTAATTACAAAATATGTCTTATTGATTTTTTTTCTTTTATTCCATCTCCTTGTCATTGGTGTACAGTGTAAAGAAAAAGATTGGAGTGCATGCTATGTAGTTAGACTGAATGTTAACAATTCATTTATTTTATTTAATTAATTAATTTGTTTGGTGATTCATAATTTATTTGTTTGTCATTTCAGGTAAAATCCATAGCTATGAGCCGAAAGTCAGATGTCTACTTTACTGTTTACTTATATCTGATAAATATCGGATTAATTTCATTGAACAATCACACAGAATCATAAAGGACAAAATCAGACAGAGGTATTTCCCTGATATTACTGATGACGGCTCGGTAGATCTCCCTGATGGAATCACAGATACACATGACGGTGTGATAACCTTTATATCAGACGATATCCGACATGACGTCATGTACGCCTTTGTTACTGAGTGTCTGGTGGAGGACAGTGACCTGGAGTTTTTCCTGACCACGGCGTCACGTGACGTGGTATATGAATACTGCAGAATCTGGAATTATAAGAGGAGTGAGGGAGAGAGATGTCTGTATGTACCGGACTATCCGGAGAAGATGTACGACCTCTTTATAGACAGTCTACAGCTGGATATCATCACACACTGCACCGTGTCTGACTGGAGGATTCGTGACAGGATCTGTAAACGTTGTAAGTATAACGTCTCCAAGATCTGTCTCTAGTTATGTGGTTTACTGATTTATGTAGTATTACCTCTGTGGCACTCTAGTAAAAATGTCATATTTCAGGGAGAATCTTCATCATTTTTTGATAAGATCCTCTATAGTAACTCTTTCATTTTCTTGATTTGTGTATAAAATACATATATTTATACCCCCCGCTTGAAAAGCGGGAGGGTATATAGTAATCGTTAATTCCGTCCGTCTGTACGTCTGTCCGTCCGTCCGTCTGTTACGCTTTGGGGTACCCATCTCTTATCCGCAACTCCTCTCATACCACTGAATGAAATTTGATGAAACTTTCACAGAATCTTTATTACATATTGCCATTGTGCACCTCCTATTTTACTTTTTGATCCGACACATATTTTGGGTTTCCCGGCCACAGGAAAACTTGTACTTTTTCACCAGTTATAACCATATGGGAGGCGGGGGGTATCATTTAGTGAGCTCATCGCTCACAGTACCTCTAGTTTTATCTGTTTTTCATTAGAGTAATCTTTCGAAAAAGCAAAATCAAAAGTATTAAATCTTATGTTATTACATGTGAATGTTTGATAAATACATTTAATGATTGGAAAATTATCTTAATTGTAACCCCTGTAAGTTAAGTGTATTTTTAAAATTTATAATTATAAGAATGAAATGTGGGTCTTATACGCAAGTTCTTTGTAAATCGGGCCAAGTTATCGAAAGTACCCGGTAGTCCATAAATATAGAGAAGAACATTTTTTATGCCAGTAATTTCAAACAGCATGAATAATTTCGCAGATTTTTCCCTTTGTTTTATTTTTCATGTTGGATTTAGAGGGAAAAGAATTTATATTGAGTGAAGATGATATTTTTTTATGCAATCGTTTAGAGATAAGGATTTAATTGTTAATTGTAACAAGCTTATTTAGAGAATCCGTGTTACCTGCTGAAGGAAAAAAGATGTGGTGACCCAGGAGTGGGATGGGGTCGAGGGGTCACTTTAATACGTGCAGGGGGGACAAAGGGACAAAGGGATCCGGGTTTTGGTAAAACATAAAATTTTCAAAATTAAAAGCCGCTTGAGATATCACCCGGAATTAAGTTTTACACCGACACAAAACATCAATTTACAACCTTGACCATGCCATTCAACAAGCTTAAACGCTTCCCGAAATATCGCGGAGAAACGTGCGGAAAAGTGTTAAAACAGACAGACTTTTCATTATTTACGACCTTGACATTTGACGTCAAAATCTCCCGTAGGCCATAGAGAAACGAGGTATAAAACGTCATTGCATAAGCTCAAATGCTTCTCAAGATATCGCGCGGAAAAGTGTGGAAAAATTTTAAGGTCAAAATCTGGTAAATGACTTTAGATCGATTTTGTGATGTTACATGTACTACATGTACAATGTAGATCTATTATGACATCACAATCCATTTCAACATTCTTTTTTCCGTCTTTACGGCATAAGTAGAATTATGTAGAAAATAGGGTAATTGCAAGGCATTCAATTAGAGTTTTCTTCATTTTTAATTGAAAATGACTGTTTAAAATATGGCTTTTCATCTTCTTTACCTACAAATTATGACCCGAAACACCTTATTTGACCAATCTAACGTTATAAAGCATCATTACAGGAATTAATTTCTGAAATTTGATAAATCTATCTACTAGGTATTTTTGATTTACTTGATCTTGACCTTAAAACAGACAAAATTCTTTTAATTTATAACTTAGACCTGTGAAATTTTGACCTCAAAATCAAAAGGAGTGTTTCTTTTGCCATTTGGAGTTTTTGTGTACAATGTACATGTAATTGTTAAAGCTTTAAGACTTCTTGATATACCGTAAGGAGAAATTTTATCGATTTCAACCTAAAATCAGGTATTTTAATTTCAGCGAGGGTAATTTTAGCGACTTTCATATGCTAACTAAAGAAGCTATTACAAATAATACGCAATTAATCTTTCACCGGTATTAAATTTTAGCATTGTTAGCACCCTCGCTAATAATGCCAAAATTAAATCCTCGTTAAAAATTCTTTTTATACGGTATATGGCTTAAAACGAAAGCGTTACAGAAAGACAGACATATAAACGAAAAGAACAACAGTCCGAAATTAATATATCCCACACAGCGAGGGATGAAAAACCAGGGAGAGACTTACAAAGGGAAATAAATAACCCGTTCCCGAAAATGTTGAAAGTAATTATCTGCCCTCGACTGGCAGGAAAATAAATAATCTGTACATGACCAAATCCACCCCCCCCCCACCATCACCACCATCACCTATTTAGAGTTTTTGATTGATGTTTTTCTTTTTTTCATTTTGCTTGTCAGATATCTGCCTTGAGTTAGTAAAGATGAAAATAAAATTGTGTCCTTCATCTACATTAAAATAAATAATTTGACTTGGAGAAAATAGCCAGCCCCCCCCAGCCCCTTCAGAATCAACTTGCCATTCCCTAACAAAATATGTTTTACATGTACATGCCAGTAAAGAGGATAATTATAATTAGACTCATGTTATGTTTAGTGAAGATACCCAAAGAAGTACTGCGTTGGAACATGGAAGCAAGAAAAAGGTTCGTCAAAATTTCAAATCAGGGGAGTGTGAACATGTGTCGAGCCAGAGGTATGATAGTGGGATGCGCAGGCGCAGGAAAATCAACTCTTCTTAGAAGACTTCAAAGGGAAAACAAAGAAGAAAACAAACAACCAACTGAGACAACCATCGGTCTTGATATTCACGAGGATTTGTTTGAAATTAAAAATGACACATTAATAGGTGATTTATTTTTAAATATGTTAAGCTGATATGTTTATAGATGGGGAAATTTCACTAAATCTAGAATTCATTTAAATTGAATTTCGATTAGAAACACAATCAATCTACAAATTGCAGTCCTTTTTTAAAAGACCAGCAGCTTGTTTTCAAAACGGATCATTCTGTTAATTTAAAACATGTATGATTTCATTTTATGCATAGGAATGTATTATCATCTGCAAATCTTTTCATACATTCTTTCAGATTTTGATAAAAATGGAATACAATCAAACAAGACTTCTAACAGCACAGATGGAAGACAGCTAATAAGTATGACGGATTTCGCTGGACAAGTAGCGTATTACGCGTGTCACCAGATTTATCTCTCCAGAAGAGCCTTTTATCTTGTAGTTGTTGACATGTCTAAAGAACTGGAGGAAAAAGCTATATCATACGACTCTGACAGGCACAACCCTATTGGATCTTTATTTCATGACTGGACATTTGCGGGTAAATACTCTCAATGAAAGAGGTTGTTATTTTGTACAGAGAACCATGTATACATCGTTGTCTATTTATAACAATTACTTCCATGGCATTTTAAGTCTACTTATATGAGTAAGAATCACCGTTTAACAGAATCGTATCACTTGATAATACAATTTTTTTGCAAGAATACTTTGTGTTTTGGCTGCAATCCATTAAAACCTATTGTGAGGATGGCAAGTCTGAGGAAAGTGGACGTGATGAAACCAAGGCCAACCCTGTTATCCTGATTGCCTCTCATCATGACTGTGTAAAGGTAAAGTGTTCTATGGCTTATCGGATGTCTCCTACCATCTTATCTCAAGCTAGGGATTTCTTGCTCTTTTTTATTTGAATTTTTTCTTGAAGAGAACTATATTCTTGTGTCAAGATTTTGCAATTTATATTGAATAGTATTGAGTTGAAAAATCATTAACAAAATTTATAAAACTCATGAAAGAAAGATATTCAGCAAAGTTACATCAGAGGAACATCAGTGAAACCATTTTGTCAGTTGATGTAAAGTAATTGTAGTGTTTGAAAATTACTCATTGATAATATATTTATTTCTGGTTTATAATAATCCATCTGCAGCATCTTTGAAAGCACATTTAAAACAGACGCATTATAAAAAAATATATATTTTGCCTAACGGGTTATATACCAATTTTCAAATAGCTTCATGAATTTTTATTATCTATCTGGCTAAGCTTTGTTAGTTAATAGTTAATGACAGATTTTGCGTTTTTCGTTCACATTAAAACATAGATAATTGACTTTTAAAGGAGAAGAACGAAACCACGGCAAATCAAACCACATTTTATGATGCACTAGAGAAATGCTTGCCTATTGAACATACATTGAATGATCATATTTCTCCCGCACGTTACTACGAGATTGAATGTCCACTGGGAGAATTGAATAAGCACCAGGAAGAAGGAATAGAACAAGTCAGAAACTGTATTGTGCACACGGCAAAAAGTCTTCCGCATTGGGGTGAAAAAATCCCACATATATGGTACTTGTTTGAGCAGTTTATTCAAGAAAACAAAATGAAGAGAATTGTCAGTAGGAAACTCCTACAAGCTGAAAAAGAATTAAATTTTCTTAAAGATAATGAATTGGATGATATGCTGAGATACTTTTCGGAGGTGGGCCAGATTATCTATTTTTCTGAATCTGTTCTGAGGCACAATATAATATTAGACGTTGGTTGGTTTGTAGACGCTTTTAAAAATATCATTACAGACCCTACTCACGCACGCTCAGCATGCAGTAGGGTGAAAGAGTGGGACATTTTTATGAAGAATGGAATGATTTCAGATTCAACACTGGTCAAGGTATGGAGGGAAAACAAAAAGGAATCGTATGTTCTTCAGAAGGATCATATTTTACCATACATGGAGAAACTTGGTATTCTTGCAAAAATGAAAACCCAAGAAATTGAGGTTAGAGACGCGGAATTGTTAGAGAATAGACAAGAGTCCTTGTACTACATCCCAAGTATCAATAAGACTGACTTCACAACAAAAGGCTTTCATTTCTTCAACAACGGATATAAAACTCCGATTTTGGTCTTTTCTTTCAAAACGTATATTCCACATTTCTTTTTCTTTAGACTTGTTGCAATATGTTTTTCGAAGTGGGAGTTATTAAGTAAGGACCGTCTCTGTAAAAACATTGCCTTTTACAAGGAAAAGGGGGGCGATATTAACATTGCTATTGCTGTTAATAAAACTTCCATTCAATTGCAAGCGTTTACTCCAGATGATAAAATCAATCTAACAAGCGCAGATACCAAGAAGATCAGAATTCAAATTGAACATTTGCTTCGGAAGGTTACCACTACTTTCCATCAACAAGTCCTCTATGAGGTTGGGTATCCGTGTAGAGACATAAATATCACTGAAGAAGATGAGCATTGCTTTTTATCAGAAAGAACAGTAGCCGAGCTAAACACGAATGAACGAGTTTGCCCGAATTTTATAAAGGAGGATCATGAAAAACATCAGATTGTTCGTGACGACCTGCTGCATTACTGGTACACGGTATGTACTTTAAATAGGGTATATTAAACGAAGCAGCATTTCGACTGGAGTAATTTTATGTATACTAGAACAAATACTATAACTAGAGAATTACATTTAAAGGGAAGTTGAGTTTTAATCTCCTTGTCACGAATAAGTAAAGGTGATTTAAAGACAATTGAAATGATCCATTTATTTCTTTGTTTTAAATTATATTGTTATGATTTTTGTTTCAGGGAGTTGATAGCAGAGCCCATTCTTCTTGGTGGTTGGACTAAAAGAAATTGATTGTAAAACGAAACAGTTTAAATGTACAAAGCGGGCTCTACTCTCCCTTATCATTTCTGTTTCACGCTGGTGGTCTATATAAATACGTATTGAAAGAAAAATTAATATGTATTGAATTAATTCTGCATTCATCTGTTGAGGTTGACTAAAAAAAATAACAGAATTAGACTCGGCCATTCAGTGAATTGAAAATCTACTGAAAGATCACATGTAGTGGAGAACAGATCTTTATCATTTAAGCATTAATATGATTACTTTATTGAATGCAAGTATTAATATTAACCTCGTATAAAAAAAACATATATATATATGAATATGTTTTAAACATTATATGTACATGTATTGTAATAGAAATGATACCCAACCCCATATATTTGTTTTAAAAAAGTTTAAGTTTAAATATTTCCATTTCTAATTTTTTTTCTCTGTGATAACTGTTTGAAAGTTTGGGGAATTTATTTCTTGATAATTCTGCCGGAATGTAAATTAGGCAGGTCGATAGGTCAGCAGCTAAGGAGGCCTAATATGCATGCAAATCTCGTGCGCATCTGTCTACGTGTCTGACGCTAAGGAGGCCAAATATGCATGTAAATCTCGTGCGTCTGCCTTTGTGTTTGACGTCAGTGTGAGAGGACTATTAAAATTGGCATGGAAGTCCTTGTGTATATCTATTAGTCTACATTTTAAATGTCTAAATCTACAATTTTATTTCACAATGGAATGGAAATATAAGAATTCGCTATCTAGTTTTGAGAGTATGCCAGGGACATCAACAAGAGTTGGAAACATGGGATAATTTTAGCATAACGGGCGAAGCCCGTTATGCAAATTATATTAGGGATAGTTTAAATCTTGTGGTGATATTTTGTTGGAACTGCATGTGGCGAATACGTTTTTCTTTTTCTCAGACAATTAACTTAAAAAAAAATTGCAACATTAAAAGGCAATGAAAGAAAACAAAAATTTCTGTAGTTACTAATTGATATCCGGGAACTAAAATTGTTATATATATTTTTAAAGAAAGATTAACAAGCACATTTCGATATTAAAATTGTTTTCTCATTAACACTCCATTTTAAAAACAGAGGAGGGCTAAACTAAATAAACGGATGTTTTCCTCTTCCAGTATTATTAAAGCAGCTGTTCAGATCCTCATCCTGCCCAGTTAAGAGTGTAAATAGTAGGTAGAGCTTTATCTTTTCAGGAAATTTTAGCTATGATACACAAAATAAACAGTGTTTCAAACGTACTGTAACAATGATTTGATTTTTGTGTTCTTTTACCATCGATTGAATTAAACTACATCAAGGATTACTTTAACATGATTTATTGAGTTTTTTGAATGCACTCTACAAAGCAAGAAATAAAGAAATCACTGGCCCCTGGATCATATATAAAATCTTAAAAACTTGTTAAAGTAAACTCTATATTCACATATGACAGCAGATTGATGATACAAAATTGGAAAGCATTTTCATTTTGGGCTGCTTAACCTCTAAAAAAATTCAACATCTAAGACATTTTTTGACTTAAGCTAAGATGTTTCATGATCCCGGGGCCTGGTTTTCTTTCTCATTTTTTTCTTATCCTCTAACTCTTTTTTTCTGTTAGGTGAAAGGTCCCACATATCATATTAATTGACAAGGCTATAGATTTGCAGACAAATTGACAGACAGGCAGAGATAAAGAAAAAAAAAGACAGGCAGATACACAACTTCTAATCACTTATTACAGAACCTTAAAAAACAATGTGATAGTATTGTGTTGTATTGTAATAGAGTTACGGTACATACTACTAAAAGATTAATAAATTTATAAGTAAGATGGTGAGTCGTTTAATTTATTTTTCACCTCTCATAAAAGGCATTTCAAGTAACAATTTCAAATTACAAATATAAATTAAATGCATTGATATATCATTTGAAGATATTTAGACGCAGTTTACTTTGATGCTATGTTTTCTTATGATCAAATTCACATAGATTCTATACTTCACTTAGTGTAGAGACACAGTTATATAAATCATTTGAATGCAGGTACGTATCTATCGGTGGATATTGTAATGATTCTAATAAATCGGTCCACTGCAAGGTTATACGCAAATGGATTCTAGTAAGTCTTTACACATAGATGTATCATTGAAAATAATCATTATTTCAAAATAGCTGCGATCCTGGTGAAATCTAAATTAAAATATTAGCTATCTTAAAGAATTCATCTTTTATCACAAAAATTAACATATTTCTTTCATGTACCTTGACTCTATTCAATACAATACACTACACTACTTCTCATTCTATATTTAAGCCCTTGTAATTGATGATTAGAGGGTGTATATTTTTTGTCTATACATGCTTCTATCCTTCTGTCTACCTGCCTGTTTGTCTATCTGTCTGTCTATTTGTCTGCAAAAGGTTAAGTCCTGACAATTAATTCTGATCATTAAGCTTTAGAGAGAGACAAGAGAGAGGTTGTCAAGAAAGAAATATGTCCGGAATGGAAATATCATTATGAGTTGATAATTACGTCGTTTGATTGAACTCCAAATAGATCAAGTCCTTCGGACGATTCTGTATAAACAGAGCTCCGGGTATCTTAGTAGGTATGCACACAAAAAATCCTCACTGCTCAATGGCTCTGAGTGCTAGCCATTGGTATAAATTTGCAGCCTTCCATCGGCAAGTGTTACCTCTTCATTTGAGTGAATGACTCCCGAATACCTTCGTAATTTATTTGAATTTCAGTCTTCAACTTCTTATAACCTGCGATCCGAAACTAATTATGATCTGAGATTACAAAAATTTCGTAGAAACTTATTCAAGACCTCTTTTCAGTATTCAGGTGTACATTTATTGAATAAACTTCCCCAACACATTAGATTCTCTCATTCTCTAAGAACATTCAAGCGTAATGTGTAAAAATTACATTATCAGCTGTCGTGCAATCATTGGAGCATAATACGATTTCAATATATTATATTGTACTGTTATTGTTAAGATGTGTCTGTATTTAATTACTCTATTCATAATTCAGTGATTGTAATTCTCAAACCTATATAACATGTACTTAATTGTATGTGATGAAGATGAATTGTATCTTCATGAAGTGTATATATTTTGTATTTGATATATGTACATATATATATATATATATACACTGTATATAGAGGGCTCTGGGGAAGAATAGTGCATGCACTAACCAGGTTACCTTCTTTAAATAAAGTTTTATTATTATTATTATAATTATTATAAATATATTTACTTTAAACACGTGTATCTTCAACATATGAATACACAAATGAATGTAAATCTATAGCATTAAAACCTCATAACACAGAAAGGTGTCAAAAGATTAAAATATGCAATTTATCTTGAAGCACAATTGTTGAACGCTGAGGAACTGCAACGTCACAACCTTAAATCAGACATAACGCTTACATTGACCAGAGAGTGTTACGTTGGCTCTTCCATAAACTCTACCTTTCACGAAAATTAATGAATGGGTTTGAAAATACAAATTACAATTGGCCTAAAAATACTTATTAGCAAATGACAGTAAGCATAAATTAAACTCAAGCTTGTTATTGAACGTCGGAATGCATTTTCTTAAAGAATTTATCTTTAATTTTTGAAGAAATGATCAACTTTTAGTAGCTGATTTTAACCCTCATTACTGTAAACATGGTATGAAAGATTTTCATGAACCCTGTCCCCACTCATGACCGGTAAATAAAAAGTGCAAGTCACCAGGTACGTTGAAACGTTAAATATGCAGGATGCCTCTCATGAAATCATGGGATAAAACATTGTAATTATCTAAGATCAGAAGGGATGAAAATTCGTCAGACATATATATAAAAAAAAGTTAAGTTGCATTTAAATATGTGACTATGCATTCCGAGCTGAAAAGATTATAACTTTAAAGAATACGTGCAAAATCACAATGTGCTTTTGTGATTAAAACAAACTTCTTTTTTTAAATTTTTTAAAGCCTTATCTTTGTCTAGTAATAACCATTCCCATTACTTGCATAAGAAAATCAGCAACTAATGTAATCATTTTCATTGATATTTAATCGTAAAAAAAATCTAGTTGAAAATTCAAATTCAGGATAAGGCTAGCACTGAGATTCGAACATGCATGAACGTTGTCATTAAAATCACTTCATATCTACTTGTTTAGTTATATATGCATGTCGGAGTGCTTCAATAAAAATGTAAATGTATTTATACACATTTTATAAATTGACAGTCAATGATATTATTTTAAAGTGGATACATGTACAAAATTTATATACATGTATAAGAGAGACAAAGAAAAAGAAAGAAAGAAAAAGATAGGGAGAGAGATCTTATGTCCATTGATTCTTTATATCAAAAGCACAATGTGATGGTCAAGCACTGAAGATTTCCGGCTAAGATACTCCTCGATTAAGATGAATATAGCTACGCTTTTATTTTCTTTATAACACATTTAATTGTTTAGAATAGAATAAGTACAACACACCTTTCTTCACTATCCCTGATATGTACATACTTCCTTCAATAAAGTCCTTGAGTTTTGAAATAGCTGGCGATTAGGTTTTTCTGTTATCTGATGGTTATTTGGTAGTTATTTGGAAAAGACTACACACATTCAAATGGCTCAGGTTCAGCGTGAGTACTATTTCTTTTTTTATTATTCAATTGCTTTTTATTCTTATTTTATAATTTATAAAATGGTCTCAAAGATACTATCAGAAAAATGATTTAAATTAAAAAAATACCTTCCTTTTAAAATTTGATTTTAGAATCATTGGTAATATGTACTCGTACATGTCTTACGTCACTGACCTCCTTCATACTTGAATTCATGAGACCATCTATGTTTGTGACTGTAATATGTCAATGGTCTCATGCTACAGTACTGTGCTGTATAATATTTAGGATTTTAAAGTATAAAATCTACATCTCATTGATACAAATAAAAATCAGTTTTAGTCTAATGCAGCAGTTATAATAGCTATTTCTACCTAGTGCATTTTCATACATTTTAAACTCTTGCATGAAATAGAAGTTTAAGGCCAAGATCTAATAACTTACTTGAGAAAGCATATTGATGCTAAATCAAATATGACGTCATAATTGATTTAAGCTTAATTTAAGTTTAATAGAAGTAATGTAGAAAAATAAAACTTTTTCAATGCACTCAAAACATGAAAAGTAACTCCAATATTTATATTCAATTTAAAATTACTTTGAAAAAAAGTTAAGTATGATTGAAAAAAAAAACTTTTTTTCTCAGAGACTGTAGACAATATTGCTACATTTCTTTTCACTGAGGTTGAAAAAAAACTCCGAAATTTATATGCAAATTTCAGCGTTCTTCATTCCAAATAAGTGTTACATGTTTTTACATCTAGTTAATCAAAAAATTATGTCCGAAAACATCTTATTTCACCGAGCATTATTTGTAAAGAGTCATTAAAAGAACGTGTTTCTCAAATTCGAAAAACCCAGCAGGCACCATCTTTGACTATATCTTGACGTTAACTGTGATATTTAAAATGATAAGAATATAATAAAGATGATGAAGATATTATTTTTGTGTTTAAAACAGCCCCTGCAGGAGGACCTCACAATGTTGTGGTAAGAAATATTAGATTACACTGTTCCATAACTTACATTGTTCTTTTTTCAATGAAAACTAACTGTCTGTTTAAAATGTAAATAAATTGCACATTTCTTTTAAGGCAAACATGTAAATATTTTATTTTGTTTGAGTTTAAAGAAATTGAAATAAGATATAATGGAAGAATTTACTAGTATTTGTCTCACTAAATTTGAAACAGACTAAATATACTATTTAAAAATCTGTTGTACATTTATGAATAGCGTATGTTTTTTTTCTAATTACTGACGATCTGTTTCAATTTTTGTTTTATTTATTTATTTCATTTTAGTGGTATGCGAAAGAAAGACACGTCGTTACATCACGTACGACAATACAAGATAAATGTATGTCCAAAAAAAATAAAATGAACGGTATAACAAAACATTTATTCACTGTGTTCTCGTGGATAATGCATTTTGTCAACCCTGAAACCAAACTGTCCGTCTTCGGCCTGAGGCAAACAACAGTTTGGTTCTTGGTTCTTACAAAATGCATGTTACCCTTAAACTCAGTTCATAAATATGTATTAATTCCCTGTGTTTTTAAATGCTTACACATATTTTTGAACAAACATTTAAAAGCAATCCAATATTATCTGATCATGATTATAGACATGTATTTCTTTCGAGGGGGAGGTGGGGGTAGCTTCATATATTTTTTTTAAATCTTGTTACTGTACTTCTTAATTTGTTTAAAACTATATTTAATTATCCTAACACAAAGGTGCCCAAATATTGAGTAAGAAATACATGTATAACTTTGTTCCCATAATAAGAAGTAACACCTACAACATAGAGTATGGCGTATATTCATACTTCTTTTAAAGTAGGTCATCACACATTATGTAAAATAGAGAATGACGTCAACTAATCTCTTTACAGTGAAAACTCACTAATCTGATGCCTACACAATTCGTTAAACTGTGAATTCCGACGATAGATTTCTTTCCAACTTTACAAATTTGCATGTAATTTTACACTGTGCAATTTGACATCCTCTCTACTCTGAAACATAATTTTTCTTCCAGAGCATGTCGGATTAACAGGTTTCACTGGTGTTATTCCTTTTTTAGGTCACACAGCCTGTCCCCGCAACGGTCGTCGTGTCTCAGCCTCCTCAGAGGGACTGGATGGTTCCAGCTACACTCACCTATTTGTGTTGCTTCTGGTCGACCGAAATTGAAGCTATTTATTCTGCATGCTGGGTTAGTGTACTTTGAAAGGTTGTCAAAACAATCTTCAAAGAAAATTATATAAGAGAAACTTGATCAACAAAGTTACTAGTTACATCAAACAAACACGTTTCAAATAAAAGGGCTAAAATTTGATGTGTCATTGAAAGCATATTAACTCGAGTAAGAAATATGTTCGATTCTAAAAAAATATTATTTATCATGACAATAACATTTCTTTATTTTTTTTTATCGAGGTTTCATTTAAAACAAATGGTGTAAAATACAAAATGATTTTTAATAAATGTTAAAATTATAAATGTTTCAAAGATGCATAATTTTAAATTTACAGGCAGAAGAAGCAGCATCTAGTTGCGACGTTCCAAAAGCGGAAGTTCAGTATAAACAAGTGCGCCTATTTGTCAACATATCCATAGCAGTCGGGTGAAAGGAAAAATAAACAAAGTGTAAACTTTTCAGGTGAATTTTTTTTCTCAGTATTCCCGTCTTACTTTTAAAATAGTCTTTAAAAAATTTACAAACATCCTTTTTGATTTTGTCTTTTTAAATTCATGAGTTATTGATACTCATACAATGATACCCCCCCCCCCCCCCAAAAAAAAAAAAAGAAAAGAAAAGAAAAGAAATAATTTAAAAACTGGCTGAGTAATTTTAAACACTAATCAGGGTTCTCCATGAGCTGTTTTACTGTGTTGCTCCCGACACAGTAAAATTTTCTCCGACACAGTAACAATTCAAATTTTATGCATGCGACACAGTAAAAATTTTGCCGACACAGTAAGATCTGTGATAATTATACAATCTAAACACACAAATTATTTCAAACTGAAACTTTAATCAAACATTTTACCGTCTCTCAATCCTAAAAATTAGGGTACTTAATCATGTTAATTACTAGGGCTTCACCTTGCATAATCAATTATCTCCTAGACCCTCGGCGGACTTTACGCATGACGAAACAGAGACAAATAATTTGTTTTCATACTTCCATGTTACGGTTACTTGGTAGTTGGAATAAAATACATTTTATTGTGTTTAAAAACTACTGTAGATCACTAAATTTTCGCGACACCTTATATTCGCGAGATAATCATTGACTCTTGATTAGCGAGACAAAATTTTCACGAATTGTGGTTATTGCTTTATATAATCTTAAGGAATACTATTATACGCGATAATTAAATTTTCGCGAGTACACTGTCTCGCGTAATTACGCGAAAATAAAGTTCTCGCGAATAAAAAGTGATTTACAGTATTTAAATATGTCTTTTTATAGAGCCACGGCGCTAGATTATGTTAGCCCTGTAAGTCAAACATAACACCGTACCAAAGTCATTTATTTGATGTAAATAAATTGCTGAAAATTTTTCAACATGTTCAAGGAACTTTTAAAAATATTTTACTGTTCTGAAGTTTCTTTTTTTTTAATGCGGTAACTTGATCAAGAAAACTGATAAATAATCACGGCAAATCTTTCGAAAATGTTAAGTAGTCAACTGTCTCGGTCAGAATTTCCTCTGCATTCAGAACGTGTTTTTACTTTTATCAATATGTACGACCATACCATTTGTGTAACGAATAAGCTATTTTGAAATAAGTGTGTGCATGCATTCTTTTGTACTTATAATAAATAGTGATTCAGTTGCGAGTTTGGTCGCGAAAATACCGCAAAAGTTTAGTGCTTCGCGTAAACTAAGCAACACAGTAAGAGAACCCTGACTAATTTAAGTGCATAGTATCTAACATTCTCATCTGACTGGTTTTCTTATTTTCGATCATGCAGTTCAAGAAACTCTGAAGATTATGCTACCTTACGTTTTTCTCCTTTTAGTATGTATAATAACTTTTCTGGTGACAAATGTCATCTTCATGACACAAGCAGCAGTCACGGTTTGGTTAACCGTTTCTGGTGTTAACAGATCAGGGACGGAACGTCAAAAGTGGTTTGTTCAGGGAATTCTCTTGTTTGCTGTTCGTTGACAAAGCCAGTTTAAAGACAATAAAAAGCCCTCGTCATATAATGAAGAGGGGAGGGGGGTCATTTTTCGAAAGCAAAAGATCTCACTCCCTGTCATTATTATACTACGAAATATACATGTTACACCCGGTATTTATTCGACGTCGAATAAGGACCATTTTGTCTGTAAAAAAAAAGTGTGAACCCCATAAAGATTTGCATACCCAACAAAAGGATTAATGACCCCAGTAGAATAATGACCCCATTGTGGATCAAAGTTAACATTTTCGGGGGGCAAATATAAAAATAGATAAAGAAACTTATTGGCCAGAATGCTCACCTGAGCTTTACTAAGAATAAATAAATGATATGTTTATTTCATTAAGATAATACAATCAATCATAGGTATTTTTAAATCAGTGCAATAATACAGAATCTAAAGGAGTAAAAGATTCATATAGACAGTTTTTATACAGATAAATACACTGAAACTTTTTTTTTAATCTGATATGTCTATTTTTTTTTCCCGGAATGCATATAGGGTGTCGGATACCCCAATGCTTAAAAGTGAAGAAAATGTTCAATGGGAGAGGAATTTAAAGTCGGAATTCACAGTATGTGGTACAAGACAGTTTTCACCGGAATTATAACTCTATAATGCTAGACAAAAACACAAAAAGTACTACACTGTACCAACACACACCTTAGCAACATGTTTTGAGGGTCAGGTCACCCTACTTTACTTCATACAATGTAACGATATTTTCAAGTTGAATGCTTAATATTTTAAAAGGTGAAAAGATATTTTCCTTGACTTGAAAAAATGTTTTGAGATCGTTTGGTCATCAGATAGAATTTCATGAGAGTATTTTTCAAATTAAGTACAATTATCATGTATTATAATTAATATTACTTTCACAATTTTACATTTAGTTGATGTTTAGATAGTAGTATTTTACACAAAAAAATTATAAGAGATTATTTTAGTTATTTTGAACGCATTCCAAAATCAAAACAGAAAATCTTTTTTTCTGTTTTAAGCATTTTGCCCTTAGGTATTGACAAAACTCAACAAATAACACAGTTTACAAGATATTTAATGGTGAATATCAAAAGTTTAAAGAACGCTAACCATCGTTTACATAGCTAGATTTTAAGGAGTAAATTTCCTCCCAAAAACTATCACTGAAACAGTTTTCACTACCACATTACAATTTGAAAATAGCACAAAATCTACAGAGTAAATTTCCTCTCAAAAATGACACAGATACAGTTAACATACAGTAGTCAATTCAAAAGCGACTATCCTTGATATAACAAGATTTTACGGAGTAAATTTCCTCCCGAAGAAAATAACTGAAACAGTATTCACTACAACAATTACAATTTGAAAATAGCACAAAATCTACAGAGTAAATTTCCTCTCTGAATTCACATTGGTGCATTGTACATTCAGTATTTCAAAGCCAAAGCAACCATCGTTCACATAGCTAGATTTTACGGAGTAAATTTCCTCCCAAAGGATATCACTGATACAGTGTTCACCACTACAGTTTCACTTTGAAAATAGCAAAAATCTACAGGGTAAATTTCCTCTCTAGATTTACATTGGTTCATTGCAGATTCAGTATTTCAAAACCAAAGAAACCATCGTTTACATAGCTAGATTTTACGGAGTAAATTTCCTCCCAAAGAATATCACTGATGCAGTGTTCACCACTACATTTCAAAATAGAAAAAAAAACTCTACAGAGTAGATTTCCTCCCTAAATTCACATGCATTGTACATTCAGTATTTCAAAACCAAAAAAACCATCGTTTACATAGCTAGATTTTACGGAGTAAATTTCCTCCCAAAGAATATCACTAATACAGTGTTCACCACTACAAATACAATTTGAAAATAGCAAAAATCTACAGGGTAAATTTCCTCTCTAAATTCACATTGGTTAATTGCACATTCAGCATTTCAAAGCAAAAGAAACCATCGTTTACACAGCTAGATTTTACGGAGTAAATTTCCTCCCAAAGAATATCACTGATACGGTGTTCACCACTACATCTCAAAATAGAAAAAAACTCTACAGAGTAAATTTCCTCTTAAAATGCACGTCGGGGCATTGTACATTCAGTATTTCAAAGCCAAAGCAACCATCGTTTACATAGCTCGATTTTACGGAGTAAATTTCCTCCCAAAAACTATCACCGAAACAGTTTTCACTACCACATTACAATTTGAAAAAGGCAAAAATCTACAGGGTAAATTTCCTCTCTAAATTCACATTGGTTAATTGCACATTCAGTATTTCAAAGCAAAAGAAACCATCGTTTACACAGCTAGATTTTACGGAGTAAATTTCCTCCCAAAGAATATCACTGATACGGTGTTCACCACTACATTTCAAAATAGAAAAAAACTCTACAGAGTAAATTTCCTCTTAAAATGCACGTCGGGGCATTGTACATTCAGTATTTCAAAGCCAAAGCAACCATCGTTTACATAGCTCGATTTTACGGAGTAAATTTCCTCCCAAAAACTATCACCGAAACAGTTTTCACTACCACATTACAATTTGAAAAAGGCAAAAATCTACAGGGTAAATTTCCTCTCTAAATTCACATTGGTTAATTGCACATTCAGTATTTCAAAGCAAAAGAAACCATCGTTTACACAGCTAGATTTTACGGAGTAAATTTCCTCCCAAAGAATATCACTGATACGGTGTTCACCACTACATTTCAAAATAGAAAAAAACTCTACAGAGTAAATTTCCTCTTAAAATGCACGTCGGGGCATTGTACATTCAGTATTTCAAAGCCAAAGCAACCATCGTTTACATAGCTCGATTTTACGGAGTAAATTTCCTCCCAAAAACTATCACTGAAACAGTTTTCACTACCACATTACAATTTGAAAAAGGCAAAAATCTACAAGGTAAATTTCCTCTCAAAAATGACACTGATACAGTTAACATACAGTAGTCAATTCAAAAGCGACTATCCTTGATATAACAAGATTTTACGGAGTAAATTTCCTCCCGAAGAAAATCACTGAAACAGTATTCACTACAACAATTACAATTTGAAAATAGCACAAAATCTACAGAGTAAATTTCCTCTCTGAATTCACATTGGTGCATTGTACATTCAGTATTTCAAAGCCAAAGCAACCATCGTTCACATAGCTAGATTTTACGGAGTAAATTTCCTCCCAAAGGATATCACTGATACAGTGTTCACCACTACAGTTTCACTTTGAAAATAGCAAAAATCTACAGGGTAAATTTCCTCTCTAGATTTACATTGGTTCATTGCAGATTCAGTATTTCAAAACCAAAGAAACCATCGTTTACATAGCTAGATTTTACGGAGTAAATTTCCTCCCAAAGAATATCACTGATGCAGTGTTCACCACTACATTTCAAAATAGAAAAAAAAACTCTACAGAGTAAATTTCCTCCCTAAATTCACATGCATTGTACATTCAG